AATCTCTAGTCTCCTACATCCTGCAGCATTATGTAAATAGGCATCCTAATTAATATCTGATGTTGAAAACGTGGGTTTCAAAATGTAGATCATTGTTAACCCTCGTAAATCCATTTCGTTTTCAAATAAAAAAAAATAATCCACCTTTTGCAATAAAACCTGGACTTGCATCAATCTTATAGCGCCCTCTAGAGGTGTACTAATAAAAGTCTGAGGTAGGTTCTTTGTATGATTTATGGAGTCGTTGCTTGTATTAAATTCTGCTTTGTAAATATGCTTCGACTCCACTGCAACCTTCAAGCATGTTTATATTTAAAGATGACCGAATCTTACCGAAATATTGTTTTAGACAATTGCATGGGCAAAGGTATCCTACACTAATGTTAAAATGAGATAAACAATAATAGTCAAGCTTTCTTTTGATACTACATGTAAACTTGACAGGCTGAAAAGAAAAAGTAGATAAGTAAACAAAAACATTCTTAACAAAATATTAGTGAACATTTATTTCTGTAATTTATGCATAATTACAATAGAATCACAATGATAAAAAAATTCTTTCATAAATACATGGTTTTCAACAAACTGGCCTAGTTTCATAAATTTTAATCGAGGGGGAGGGGGGCAAGAAGATTTAAACCTTTTTCAAAACATGTTGAATGGATAGCATAGTTTTATTTAACATGTCAGATTAAACAAATCTTTTGTTTTAAAGAATCCTAAATGTTACACTTTTCCCCTTCAAACGTAAATGTATACAACTTCAAAAAGGAACATCTTGAACACCGCTTGGCCAAGAAGAATTAATACAATCTCTGTATGATCGAGTCAAAGGTTGGTGGTTGTATTTTACGTGTCTTGTATCAAATACGTGACATGATCACAGCCACCTTTTAATTCCTACACATTGCAAGAGCTACCGGTATATTTGAAGTCATATCACATACAATTAGGACAGATGAAAGTGAAATTAACAAAAAACTTTGTATTTTGCATGCTTTCATTTTTAGTCATAATTTTCTACCAGTACTGTATTTTCTCTATTAGAAGTGCATTGGATGTGGAATCATTAAAATATGACTTATTACAACCATAGAAACCCCGTTGTCATGTAGATTAAGTCAGCAAAAATGAAAATTTTAGAAAATTTAATTTTAACTCTTGAAAAGTTGTTTGGTTAAAAATTAACAATGAATTGTGGGGGACAAATGAAAATCAGAATTTTGGTGTCGAAAAACAAGATGAAAATGTTAAAGCTTAACTAATGAGGTTATTGGGAGAATAACAAAACAATCAAACTGTCAGTTTTGTACATTCTTCTTGTCAAACAAATTTATACATTTTTTTTTCAGATTCATAAATTACATGGGTATATTTTTTGTTATTTTCAGTTAAATATTAAAATAGTGTAATTATTTCACACAGATAAATTATGTACTGCATATAGTTTAAGAAACCACAGACAATGCAAGAAGTATGCAAATTAAATATACACCTATGCAAGTTATCTATTCCTTCAAAGAATTTGAAATTTAAAACACTTTTCCAAAATTGCACATAAATTACTGTAAAAGCATTTCACAGTTTTTTTTTTATTTCACTATATTGAAATTTGAGGATTTGCCAGTAAAAGAACGCATTCAATGTTCAAATGACTTTCATTTTCGCATTTTTCATAAAGTGAATTAATATGTATACAAGTAAAATAACGCCCATCATGGCAGACCCAACTGTAAATGAATTGACGTTATGAAATATAATATAAATCAAATTATGGAAAAATAAATCTGCAATAAAAAAATAATTAGGAAAAATTTGATTACAGCACCAACACACGGGACACAGCAAACCCCTGGTTTGATTGATATTTTACTTTGTGATGCAGTTGCATGAAATAGG